TTTTTTAATTCATGGGCGCAGCTATGCCTAAAACTAAACATTAGTGCAGCACCCTGATGCAAGCGGCCCAGATCTGATCCGAGAACATCTGATTCTGTGGAAACATCAAATGTGGGAAACTGCAGCTGGGATGAGGATGCAGACCTACTAACCTACTAACCTACTGATTCCACTGTGTAAGAAGAATTTATTGCTTCTCAGTTCATCTGGCGACAGCTCGCTCTCCGTCTGCTGTGACACTTGGTTCAGTCGCTCCTGTCGTCTGAACATCCTGTACGGCGTCGGGTTGATGATGGGAAACTTCAGCAGGTTTAGAGTCGTCCCTGAACACACCACAGGATGAAAAACACACGCATGAAGAAATAACTAATACATGAACAGAGAATGAACCAGGTCAATGACAGATTATCAGGATCATTCTAATTTATTTTGTTGATTAATAAGATGACTGAAGGGTGAAGAGTTACTTTACATAATTAAAATGAATGAAAACACTTTTCTTTTTAACTTTATTCACCTGGTAAAATTTGTATTACTTTTTATGTACCACCAATCAGTTGATAAAATTCATTAAAAGCCTCCACAAGCTCATTTTATTTAGTCAGTAATTGGCACATGTAGGAACATGAGGAAGTTACTGTGAAGAAAATCAAGGAACACTTAAATGATTAAGTGTCCAAAAAATTAAGAACACTAAGGAGTAGAAAAAAGATTCAGGAATCTTCTGCCATCATTCTCTGTGTGTCTGCCAGTGAAAAACAAAGACTACACTGATAGAAACTGATAGATATGTGAATGCAGTCTGGTACTCACCAGGCCATGGCGATATGGTAGCCTTGTGGATGACGTCTGTCGCCTTGGACTTGCAGTAGTCAGACTCTAGCAGCGTGTTGAAGAGGGTCGACTTCCCCGCGTTGGCGCTCCCCACCAGGTACACGTCACCTTTGTACTTCCAGGACCTCTGCAGGTTGGAGATCAGAGACTCGATGCCGTATCCAGTCTTGGCGCTGATCAGGTGGATGTCAGTCACTTGCCCACCGAAGCCAGCATCCTGACAGTACTGGGAGAGCTGCCGCTTGATGCGCTGCAGGTAGTTGGGGGCGTCTCCGGGGATCAGGTCAATCTTGTTGCCGAGGACGACACGACGATGTGCTTGTTGGTCCCTACGAGCTCGGACAGGTCGGGGATGACGGAGTCGGGGAGGTCGAGCAGGTCCACAACGAGCAGCACCAGGGCCTGCTGGGGGCGAACCTGCTGCACCACAGCCCGGTACTGGTCCCTGGACATCTGCAGGTTCAGGGCCTTGTGGTGGTGGATAAGCAGGTGGCAGCGCTGACAGGTGGCCCCACTCAGACCCCCCTCCTGCAGCAGGGCCTTGTACTTCTGGCTGGGTAGGTACCCAGGGATGTGGGTGGCGGTGCAATGCAGGAAAGCGCCACAGCCAGAGCAGCAGGTGTCACTGACTGGCTCATCCTCGTCCGGAGTCCCAAAGATCTTGTGCTCACCTTTACCTACTGCCTTCTCCTTCTTTTTCTTCTTCTTCTTTGCAGCCACAATGGTTTCATCCAGTGAGAAGTCCATGTCTTGGAACTGGATGAGGGAGTCCAGGTCCACCTCCTGCTGGGCCCTGCCCCTTAACACCTGCAACTGCCGCTCCAGAGACCTCAGGTGTTTGTGAGGGAGACCAGGAGGAGGAACAGGGGGGAGGATGGGGGGCAGGAGGACAGGCTCAGCTGCAGGAGGAGGTCCTTCGCCGCCTGTTGGGTTTCCTCCTCTGGATCTGAACCAGGAGACAAGACCCGTGGTAACATTGTGTAGACATCAGACCCCAAACATCAACATGAATCAACCAGATTTCTCTGTTCAGTGCACACATGACAGTGTTTGCTAGTCTGGGACACAACACTGAACATGATCAGTATTAAACTGTGTAAACATTTCATTCAGTTCGGAGCTGGAATACTAACTATCGGAAAGCAACAGAGTAAATAACGCTGCTTGTCCCCTCGGGCTGCTACTGATTCCACTGTGTAAGAAGAATTTATATCAGTGTGTAACACTTGTTCTAACTCAGCTCTCACCGTCGGTGCATCCCATCACTCTTCACTGATCAATACATGTGACAACTGGCCAGCTGACACCGGGGCTGAAGCATGTACCGACAGGCCATGGCACAGCAGTTAGGTTTTATGCTATGCAGCATGTGGATGCTCCTGTTAGTGGTTCAGGGCTTTTATTACTGCTCCTCTACAAAAAACAAATGTCATGCTTTAGTGTTTTTCCATTTGCAGAAGAAAATCACTCATCACAACCAGGACACGTGTTCAGAGTTTAATCTGTGGTGGAAGTGAACCGCTACACTCACGGAAACAACCGCATGACTTCACATGTTGGATGGAGAAAACCCTGAGATGTGCTTTGCCTGACGAAACCAAGCCTCTTCACTCGAATCAAAATCCGTGGACTGCGACTCCAACTGAGTCAAGACATCGGTATCCAGCCCTACTTCTCGGTACTTCCACTGCACGCCTTGGTAGGCTACTTTTAAAAAAAATGTTTTTATTAAACAATAATGCAAATCAATACAAGATTTTTCAGCACCAACAACAGATGTGTAACAGTGCATTTAGAGCACAACAGGACAAAAGTAGGCATATAATAACAAGGTGAGAACAAAGAAAAGAAAATACAAAGACGTAAGGCTATTCTGATATAAAATTAAAACTTTTAAGGAGGTCAGTGGTTTTGGTTCGTTTTTCGTTGGGGTGGTTTAATTGTGACAGTGTTTGGAAGTAATTGTTGAGATTAGATCGTTTAAAAGTTGAAAAGGATGGTGATTTTTTCAGAAATGTCATTTTATGGATGAAGAATTTGGCCAAAATAATGAACAGATTAATAATACAATTTTCACTGCTAGAGACACAGGGCTTGTCACAAATTGACAATATATCATATTCTTTAAGTACAATTTCCTTACCAAGATAATTTTTGAGATCAAAACAAAATACTGCAACATGTGCACACTGAAAAATAAAAAGATGATCTAGATTTTCTAGCTCATTGTTGCAAAAGGAGCATTTTTCTCCTATGTTAGAATGTATTTACAAATAATAGATTAATGGGTAAAATTTATGGAAGATTTTAAAGGAAAGTTCTTTAGCTTTGTTGGACAAGACAAATATGTAGGACAAAGTAAAAACAGCGTTCCATGTTCTTTCACCAAGAGTCTGGCGTGGCCATTTATGTTTAACAGCTGTTGTTGTTCTTGGAATGAGGGAGTTTCTTATAAAGATGTTGAATCTTTTATCAAAAATAGAAGTGCCATTAACAGCAATATCTAAATTGATAGAGTTGTGTGTGTTTGAGAAGGAGTGTGCTAAACTGAGAATGCCAGATGGAAGTGCATCAATAATAGTATAATACTCATGCTGGGAGACAGGAACCCTGTACTTAGCTATGAAGTGCTCATATGACAATAGAGCTCCATCACAGTTAAACTGTTGCTTTACCAGTACAATGTCTAAGCAAGATGTCTTCTGTTTAGTGACATTAATTGAGGAAAAAAAGATATGAGGCTCTTGACAGGCCCTCTGCTTTGCTGAGTAGGACTCTACCGTACAGAGATAAATCTCTGGCTAACCAAGAGTTGAATTTCATTTTGACTGATGAGATTAAAGGGTCCAAATTATCATTAATCAATTTCTTATCATCCTTTGTGTTCATAATTCCTAAATATTTCACTGTGTCTTTTACTGGGATGTTATATAACTCAGTTTCTATGATGTCTTTAAGAGCAAAAGTCTCACATTTACTTAAATTGAAGTTGAGGCCAGACACTTTAGAGAAGTTTTTTACAACAGATAAAGCATGAGAGACTTCCGTTTTACTTTCTAGAAATAAAGTAGTGTCGTCAGCTAGTTGTGAAATGTTTATTTGCCTACCATTAAAACTGACGCCTTTAAAGGGATGCTGATTTATTAATAAATGAAGAACTTCTTCTACTAGTAAGAAGAGGTAAGGAGAGATAGGACAGCCCTGGTGAATTCCTCTTAATGTCAAATCTGGGTGATGTGCCAAAGGGCAGCTTCACAGAGCTGTTGTTACCATTATATAAAGTTTTGATAGCTTTAATGAAAAAGTTGAAGAAGCGTAAGGCATCAAAAACAAAACTGTGGGATACTGTGGCAAAGGCTTTTGAAAGTCCAAGAATAAAATTAAACGATTGCCATCAAGAAGATCTTTATAGTTGACTGAATCAATGACTAGTCGAATATTATTGGAGATATGCCGACCACTTATGAATCCACATTGGGAGTCATGAATTATTTCATTAAGACCAGATTTTAACCACTTTGCCAATATGGAGGCCAAAATGTTACAGTCACTCGGTAGACCACTTGTACCTGTCTGATACTCAGTAGCTAATGTTTTTACCTCTCTACTCCGAGTTCTTGTGGTAATAGTACCGTTATAGTACTGTCACTTCCTAGCAGCACTGTAGTACTTCAAGATCAAAGATTTTTATTGTCCATTCACTATATGTGCAGGACATACAGGAAATCAAAATGCCGTTTCTCTCCCACCTAGTATTGAATGCCATACCATTTAGGAAACTAAAATAGAATAAAAGTAGAGTAAAAATAGACTAAATAGAATAAGAAAACTAAGTCAAAGTGATTAGGATAAAACTAAACAGTACAACCTAAAAGGCTATGACTCAAAACCTGTACAATCACTGACTGTGGTGCAAACAACAGTCCTGCTTCTGTTCCTTCCTCCGATCGCATGCCTGACAACTCCAAGAAATCACTCTGAGGGCACCCCAGGCCAGTGGTCTGGATTGGTTTCAGCATTGTTCGATGTACCTGCCGAACCTGAGCCAAATCATGTGCAGGAGCCACTGAATACACCACTTGGCCTGGTTCAGGCACTCTCACCACTTGGTACACTGTAGGGCCCCAGACATCCTGGATTTTATTTCGGCCCCGCCCAGAGTGGTCCCGTAAATAGACTTTCTGATGCACTACCAGTGGTTCATCACACCCATTAGCATCATGTCTCTCCTTCCTCTGTCAAGCAGCTGCTTCCATACGACCCTTTGCACCGTTATATGGCACTTGAAGCCTCCGCCGATGTTCCCTAACCCAATCACAGACCGTCCCTGATGATGGCTCTGGAAGATTGCCTAAGAGAAAATCAACAGGTAAATGAGGTTCCTGCCCAAACATAAGAAAGTGTGGGGATTCACCTGTTGACTGATGAATGGTGGTGTTATAATTAAACACCACCTGAGGAAGATGTTCAGGCCAGCGGCTCTTCTGTTCCAGTGGGAGGGTACGGAGGAGGTTATGAAGGGTTCGATTAAATCTCTCACACTGACCATTACCTTGAGGCCGGTAAGGGGTGGTACGAGTCTTCTGCACCCCATATAGCTCACACAACTGCTGCACCAAAGCACTCTCAAAACTCCGGCCCTGGTCAGAGTGCAAAC